ACAGAGGGTGATCTAGGCAGTGACCTGATTTTAGTCTCCTACAGAAAAGAAGAGACTATTCCTATATTATCTGTAGTGGAACATTTACTCTAACTTTTTCATCTTCCTGGATGCAGCCTTCCCACATTTTAGAGAGATTAGTTAATTTTTGTTTGTTTTGTTTTGTTTTCATTTGTTTGGTTTTTGTTGTTTTTATTTTTTAAAATTTTTTATTGTGTTACATTAGAGACTAATTAATTAATAAAGAATTTTTTGTGTGGGACAAGTATCTTGTCAAAGACTAGAGTTTTACTTTGGAGTTTTGTTCTGTGTATGGTCCTTTCCTTAATATAGAAAGGACCTTCTTTAATCTTGCAACATTGAGACTGGTAGCGCAGACCTGTAGATGGTATCAGCAACCGTAGTTTCCTTCTCTAGTTACTCGCTGGCATGGGAAAATGAAATCAGGTGGCTTGTATACTGGAGTGGCTTTCATATTTTTGTGAAGTTCCTTGTCTGTCTTCATGCATTCATTTATTTACTTCACAGATACTGTTAAGCACCGACATTGTTGGAGATGCTGGGGGATAAACAGGGAACAAAGGGAAGTCTCTGCTTTCCTGGTGCTTCTATTCTGGTCTCAATCAGAAAACATTTTTGGGTGGAATCACTGATGGTGGCAGGTTCCGTGTTTGGGAACACCTCCTGGGGAGGACATCATAATCTGTAGTTAACTGTGTTCCCGAGGAAGGGCCATCTAAGCATTTGGGGGTTTCGTGTCTCCCTAGCAACTTTTATTCTGAACACTGAGCAAATTGAGGAGTTGAACAAATCACATTAGAGTAATTACCGTGTGCTTCATGGTGTTCTCAGCCCATTACCAGTAACTGACATTTCAGTTTTGTTACGGGTCTGTGCAGTAGGCAGTGCTGGTACCCTGTCTTACAAACCAGGGAACTAAGTCACTTGTTCCCCTAAGCAAGAAGCAGGACTCGAATTGGTACCCAGGCTCTTCACCATGGCCCTGTCTGCTTCTACCTCTGGGTGAGAGATTGCTTGTTTTCCTTCTCCCACTTGGGATTTCTTTGAAAGTTTGAGAGTATTAAGTGCCAGATTTGGGGGCAGTGGAGGGAGTCTGGGCCTCTCTCCCTGTGGTATGCATTCTTTGGGAGCTCCCTTTCCTTTTCCTTCCTTCCTGATTCTTTCACATTGAATTATGTGTTTAATTTGTCTGAATGGTATGTGTTTAATTTTACTTAATGATGTGTGTTTCTCTCCATTCCACTAGCTGTTCTGTAAATTCCTCGAAGCAAGGATCTGGCAAATAGGTACATGTGACAAATGGGTCAAAGCGTGTATTGCAAATTCTAAAATGATTAGATCAGTTTACTTGAAATTGGGGATTTTCCTGTCCTTTGTGGGACCGCATAATAGTTTAATTTAGCTGTTGACAAATGTTTAACTGTATTCTGATCAGTGGGATGTGAATAATAGGCCATAACATGTTGGAATAATAAGACTGGGGCAATACTTTTTTTTAAAGATTTTATTTATTTATTTGACAGAGAGAGAGATCACAAGTAGACAGAGAGACAGAGAGAGGGGGTGGGGGGAAGCAGGCTCCCCGCTGAGCAGAGAGCCCGATACAGGGCTCGATCCCAGGACCCTGGAATCATGACCCGAGCTGAAGGCAGAGGCTTAACCCATTGAGCCAACCAGGAGCCAAGACTGGATCAATATTACTGAAAACCTAGCGTCTTCAGCATGTGTATTCCTTGGGAAGAGGTCTTTATGCCACTGTAGGTGCTGTTTTTAGGTAGGGAGCAACATGGCATTCCTACTTGGTAATTCTCCTACGTGTTAGAGATTTTTAATTATTTGAGGTTAGGTCATTGGTATTTCCTCAGAATCTTCAAGGACATTCTGTCCCTCCTTGCAGGGAAATGTTCTTCTTCTGTATTCTTCAAGTTCTCAATCTCTGATCATGTGGACAACTTTCATCCTATCAAGAACCCGCATTGCACCTCCCCCACAGCTTTCTCTGTGTCCAGATTACCTCCTCATGCTCTCAAGCTACTCCTGAAATCCTTTTCCCTCAGTGAAATTCTTCAGTTAATTAAAAGAGGAATCTGGCCTGATCTTCATTTCTACTTATTACTCAGGGAAGAAGTTTAATGAACATTCATGGTGCTTGGTTTCTTCCCTTTAATTTTAATGGACTTATTTATTGTGCCCATGAAAACTGATAGGAATCTCTGTTTTATGCTTTACTTTGCACAGTGAACTTGCTTGGCCCGGTAAACATGGATTTCAATTCTGCCGGTCCCTGGTCTCTGTGTATTTTGTCTAAGAAAGAGTTTATGACATGTGGATGAAGAGGTACTGAAACCCTATTACATTTGTGTTGGTTTATTGGGGCTGCTGTGAAAACGCACCACGGACCGGGTCATGAGACAACAGAAATTAGTTTCCTCCCAGCTCCAGAGCCTGGAAGTCTGAGATCCCGGCATTGGCAGGGCTGGCTTCTTCTGTGGCCTCTCTCCTTGGCTTGTAAATAGCTTTCTTCTCCCTGTGTCTTCACACAATCTTGCCTCCATGTATGTCTCCTCTTCTTATAAGGACACACCAGTTATCTTGGATTAGGGCCCATCCTGATGATCTCATTTTAACTTAATCACATCTTTAAAACTTTATCTCCAAATGCAGTTGCTTTCTAAGAGCTAGGGGTTAGGTTCAACATATAATTTTGGGGAGACACAATTTGGCCATAACAAAGTTTAAATGTATAACACGGTTGTCCTAAACTTTTGTGATAATTAAAACAAAAATTCCTTTTAAAGCTGAAAAATGGGCGAGGGAGGAGGACATCCAGATAGAGAGAGGACTGCAGGATATTGCTCGTGATCTGGCTTAGAACTGGCTAAGTGATTTAGGCTGAAATTCATAGTAATGAAGACTTTTTGTTCAGATTCAATGACAGTACTTTCTAAGTACCTCTAAGGTTTCGTGATTCTCTCTTAATAAGTGTTTGTAATTAGATCTTACTGATTATCTGGGAAGATGCATGGAGGGGAATTTTTATAATCCCATGTTTCATGGATAGAATGTGAAGGAACAGAGCTTGTGTCCATTAGGCCTTGATCTGAATTCGAGGCTTTTTCTTCTTGGAGCAAGCTGAAGAAGATGGCTATAAAAATCCTTCTCTTGGCATCTTACCAGCCGTGTGGCTGTGGACAGGTTATGTGTTCCCCATGCGCCCTAATTTAGGTATCTAGAGATTGGGAAGAGAGCTGTCAGGAGGCTTTCCTTGGTTCTGGGCGCTTGTTACTACTGCTCATGTAGATTGACGCCATTGCTCTGTAGACGACCCTGGGTGGTGGGTCCTGGAGCGCAGCCCCTGCAGCCCTGGGGCTGGAGCTCCGTCTTCATACCTGCCACCTTGGGTAGTCTCCGGGGTGTGTCTGACTCGCATGCCCTGATGGCCACTTGTGGCTCTCAGCTGTCAGAGTGGAGCTGGGCTTATGTCAGTGTCTCTAATCTGGCCTGCCGTGTGATGGAGGTGTCACTGGAGGGAAGATGGGTAGTTTCTGACGGATCATCTTATATATATGTTTTTTACCTCCTCTTCCAGTATTTGATGGAGAACCCAAATAGTGATAAGGACATTGTTCTTTTTATATCTTCTCAGGAGGCAAATGATGACAGTGTGTGGGGCAGAGGTGTCATTTAGCCTAGCACATCGGCTTTTAAGATCCACAGACGTTAGTATGGCCCAAACCCAGTACCAGAGTACCCACCTGGCAGAGCTTTGGTGAGGGCTCAGTGAGGGTGTGTGTGTATGTGTGTGTGTGTGTGTGTGTGTGTGTGTGTGTGTGTTAGAGGACAGCCGCATGCCTTCCACCTACTTTAGGCTGGTTAAGTTGAATTTTCATCCTCTGTGTGGGATTAAATTTTTATAAGCCTCAGTGTTGGAAACACTAAGGTGGCATTTATTATTAGGCTTGAACTGACCAGTTGATTCAGTGTAAAATTTTATTCCAGTAAAACCATTGAAACAAGTCGACCAGAGAGTTCTCTGTATAGGCATAAAGAACCCCAAGTTCTGAGAGGCTTAGTTGTATAACTATTTTAGTCATTATAGAAGAGCATTAAAATACAACACTGTCAGCAGTATTATTGACCTGGAAGAAGTCCCATGAGTGAACCCAATGACCATTGCCGTTCTCTGGTACCACTGCTGGTGTCTTCTCCTTTGGGGTCTGTATTCATCAGCACTTTTTCAGTCACAAGGGATAGAAACCCAACACAAACAAGCTGAAGCTGGAAAGGGAATTTATTTTAATTTAAGTGAAAAATTATAGGTCTAGAATGATCCTTAAGCCCGAGTAGATCTAGGAGCATATAGGAAATTATTGGAGCATTTTCTTTCTCTCACGTGGATTTGTTTTCAGAAAACTGATCAGGAAAGTGACTGTCAGTATTCTGAAAGTTGTATCCTTATGACTTCCAGCTGGAAAGCAAGAACCTCTGTCTTCCTGTGTCCATATATCAAATATCAGGGAAGATTTTGATTGGTTCTGCTTGGTCATCCTTGAACCTCTAACTGGCCAGTGGGTAGAATATTGCGGCCAGCGACTGTGGCAGGGCTCTTGATTGGCAAGTCCACTGGGATCACAGGTGCTGGGACAGGGCTGGTGTCCCATCCCTGCCTGGCAAACAAACATGTCTAGTATATATAACCAGCATTTCCAAGTTGGCAAGGGTTTAGTGTTTATTCTTTTAGTTGAAAGGGGATGGAAAGGTTAACTGTCATGAAACTGTGCTAAATCCATTTGAAAATCTCAAGCTGTGCAGATCTGAAGACACATCTGAAAAGGGCCCATCAGGTGGGATATACATTGTTTATCAACAGTGGAATAGTTAGACCATGAGTGGAGATACCTGAGGTTGATTTAAATGTGGGCAATGTTTTGAGTCAAGGTAACAAAATGACAATAATGGACTTCTGCTTTTTTTGGTAGGGTTAGATGATTGCCTGCAGCAGTATGTCCCCAAGTTTGAACGGGAGAAGATAAATGGAGAGCAGCTGCTGCAGATTTCCCATCAGGATCTTGAGGAGCTGGGGGTCACGCGCATTGGACACCAAGAACTTGTGTTGGAGGCTGTCGACCTTCTCTGTGCACTGGTTAGTTCAGGAAAAGATGATTTGTGCCATGATGATGTTCTTTAGAACCTTACTCTGTCAAAATCCTCAACATTCGTGGTTGAGCCTAGCGTTGTTTTTTATTAATGATTCATTGAACTGAGGCTTGAGCTGAACACAGCATAAAAAAGGAGCAACAGCATAAAAAGAAATCATTATCTAGACGAAGAGGTGGCAAACTGTGGCCTGCAGGTTAAGCCTGGCCCTTTATCGTTGTCAATAAAGTTTTATTGGCATGCAGCGCTGCCCGTTCATTTCTGTGTTGTCTGTGGCTGCCCTCACGCCACAGTGGCAGAGCGGTGTAGTTGTACCAGGGACCCGGGGGTCCCCCAGAGTCCAGTGTGTTGACTGTCTTGCCCTTGAAGAAGCAGCTTGCCTTTCACAGAAAAAAGTCCGTGTTAGTCTCATTTTCTTATCTTCTGTGGAGAGTGTGAAGAAGGAGACCGTCCTGAATGACAGTGCTGTCTTCTAAACTGAAATGAGAAATAGGTTCTGATTTTCGTGCCTGTTTTTGTTACCATGAAACCTTTTTTATATTTCACAGGTCCTTGTGATATTTAAATAGCTGAAGGGCTGCAGTCAGCCTATGAAATGGAAGCTAGATGGGAAACAATGTGAGCGTAGTTACACTCTGAAGATGATTGAGCTTCGGGTGGAACATCAGTGAGCTCAGTCCTGCCAGGCTCTGACTCTGGCCCGACATCCGTGGCTGCGTGGGCTAAAAACACCTGTGAGGGCCTTGTGTCTGCTAACTGGCTGCCACACGGTGGGATCTGCATCTGTCTGTCTCCATGCCATGTCCAGGATGCACTTTCCCCAACTGTCAGGATTTGGACCCACCCCGTGGCATTCAGGCCGGGTTAAGTAATGCCGCGAACCTGAGCCAGGGGTATATACAATTACATCACTGAGAATGGTGGGAAAGAATGTGCTCCCGATTACGGTGCCACGGCTGCTCTGCGTTCCATCGATTGTATAACACTCTCCGCATTGTGCAAGTTCTTCTTCTTAAAATGGACAGAGCTTTGTCTCCGGCTCTGAGATGCGCTGCTCTTGTTTACAGAAGTAATGGGGAAATTATTTGTGGTTGATAAATGAGCTGCCACAGGGGAGACGCTGTGGCCAAGTGGTGTGAGTGTTGGCCTGGGAGGCAGGCTCTCTGCATTCTCGTCCTGGCTCTGCTCCACACTCCTCAGTCTGTGACCTCCAGGGAAACGGGGGTGTCTATTTTCCCCATCTGTACAGTAAAACTTTCTGGATGTGGCAGTGCTCGAATGTGTGTGTTGCATTGCCCAGAAGATGTCTTAAGAGTCCTGTGTATTATTAAAGCTGTATGGTGTTTTTTTTTTTTTTTAATACAGTGAAACATGTTTGAGTTTACTTTTATTATACTTTCTGGGAAGATCACTTTTCCATGTTTTCTGCTCGTTTGATTTGTCTCTTTCAGCTTTGAGGAAGGGCTTTGAGCTAAATGACTTTGCAGTCTGCAATGTGAGAGGTGAGGAGGAAGGGTCCATTGGAGGCATGTAGTGTGTAGCAAGCCAGGTGATCAACATAGCAGCTGCCTCTCTGCTCTCACCCCTTCCTTGCCTCTTAAAATATTGGACCGAAAGGAACAAAACTGGACAAATGCCAGAACCTAAAGCTGTATTTTATCTCCTACAATTTCCTTCTAATTTCCTTTGTAGACAAAGTTTGACCTCAAACTCATTCTGGACGTGCTTTGTGCAGTAGAATGCCAGTGAATGCATTGGACAAGAAGGGCACGGGGGTGTTCTCACATGACTGCGCCTTTTCTGGGTTGCACAGGGTTTTAGAGCATTGGAGTGAAATGTTTTTTCATCTTGATATAATATAATATCCTTATAGAATGTTCCTGTTGAAATGCATATGTTCGTTATTAAATGCTATCTGTTTAATGCATTTCTACTATATAGACCTTTGTATATATAAATCGGTGATAATTTTTCGCCTTGAACAACCCATCCCTTGGGCAGTTGATGTCTATTTGCAGTTGGCCCTAGGGTTATAAAAGAGGCTGTAATGTAAACTTAGTTTGGTGGATGTTGATTTCGTGATGGACAGGAAATGAATAGAATGTAGAAGAAAGAGGAGACAACAAAACCACTGGAAAGTTCTGGAGAGAACAGGGAGGATAGAATGGATAAAAGTCTAAACTAGGGAATAGCTATGGGTAAAGATTCCAAAACCAGTGAGCAGATGGCCCCAGAGACAGCCAGTCATGGGTAGAGAAGAGAGCCAGGAGACAACACCACTGCCTTTTGCAAATATTGACCTGGGGACTTGATTGTGAGGCAGAGCCAAGACCACTTCTCAGGACTGAATGAGTCGGAGCCCAGGTTTTCTCCCCCTGTCCGGGGCAGACTCTAGAGCTGCTCTTTCAGCAGGACAGCTATTTGCCACATGCAACTATCTAAATTAAAATAAGTTAAAATGAATTAAAATTCACTTCCTTGGTCACACTAAACTATATTTTAGGTCATAGTTACTGGGGGCCGGTGTCTACCATATTTGGACAGTGCAGATAGAGAACATTTTCCTAACTGCAAGTTCTGTTTACTAGCACTGGTCTGGAGGGTGTGATTGAGGGTAAAAAAGTAAAATTGTAACCCATTTTCATTGCCAAATCAACCAGACCCTAGTTACTAAGGAAGGCATATGTGTATGTGTGTATGTGTGTGTGTGTGTGTGTGTATGTAAATTATATATAAATTAAATATTTTTTAGTTAATTAACTAGAAACCTTATATATGTCTTAAAGATTTTAGTTTGGAGAGAGAGAGAGCATGTGTAAGGGGGGAGGGGCAGACAGGGAGGGAGAAAGAATCGCAAGCAGGACTCCATGCCCAGCTCAGAACCGGTTGCAAGGACTCCCATCTCCCAATCCTGATGAGATCAGGACATGAGTCAGACGCTTAACTGACTGAGCCACCCAGACGCCGCATATTGTTTAAGGTTGAAGTAGGTTGAGAAAGGGAATAAAGTGGGGATCGGTAGCACATATCAAGTGATGTCCCTAAATGTATGATTGAATGAAATACCTGTAATGTATTTACCTGCCCAGAGCACTTCTGTGCACTCTTATATCCCTGAGAGTACTCATTTCATCCTTTACCCATCTATGGCAAATCATGAAAAGATGTTCTCCTTCTTTATGGGGAGAAATCATGCCGGGAAAGTAACCTTTGCTAAAAGTCTGAATTTAACGGGATCTTGCTGATGAGTGTATTAAATGCCTTTAGGAAAAGAATGTGGAATATATCTCTTAGGTTGTGACTCAGTTGTGCCAAGTCAGTGAGATGGTTTAGACTGTGTCTCTGGCCCTCCTTAATCACACATGTTAGATCAGGAGGAATGGAGAAAGAAGGTAGAGGAGAAGGAGAAGGTTCATCTTAGCTAAAATGTGTGTATGTACTTAAGGCACCAGAAGAGTGAGACTCTGCCTTTTTCCTTCTCTAATGCCTCCTGTGTGATTTCCCCAACCAGACCAGAAAATAACCCCGGATGGCTGAGCTCTAATGAAGCAAGATCCCCAGCCCAAGGGGGTCTGTGTGTGTATAGATTTTCAGAGACTCGTGTTTCATTTCTTTCTTGGTTTGTATCTTCTTTATCCTTTTATCTTAGCATAATTTCTGAAGGGGACAACTTTGAGGGAGAAGATTAATGAAGATAATCAAATCTGGTCTGGGAAATTATTCATTTTCTGTCTTTCATTGTGGGGCACTTAAGTCAGTCATCCTTTCCTGACTGTTTCTGCGTTAGAGGTTCTCTTGCATGAATATAATCAGTGTCTTGTTCTCTTCTTGTATGGAATGGGGTGGAAAGGGAAGGAATTATCCTTCCTTTGCTCCTCCTTTCTATCTTGTTAAAATTGTACTCCATTAAAGCTGCATCTGTCCCTCCGTCCAGTCCTGTGATTTGTTTTGGGTGGGAAACCAGAATCAGAGCACATTGAGTGGAATTGAAAAGAACCGGTTAACGAGAAGCTATGCTCCCCCTTTATTTTATATTAAAAGTGGTAGGTTTGTAGAAGATGGAGGTTTAACACTTCTTGCTGTACTAAAGTGCATTTAATCCTCTTTGAGTTCAAGAAGTAAATGTTGTGTGTAGTCAAAGAGTTCCAAGTCATTTCTGGTGACATTTAGTCTAGAAAGCTGACTTTTCTGCTTTTAGTTCAGAACTCTTGGTAGAAGTTGGCAGGCTGAGTAATTGACTGAATGAGGGGACAGTTCCTTTAATCAGTCACAAGTCCTTCAAAACAAGCTTGTCATGTGGCTCTTTATCCATTCACTTGTGAGTCTTTGATTCTCTGGATTTAAAAAGCACGCTGAAACTCCATCTTCATATTTTTGTCTTCTTTGTTGAAGGACAAAGTCATATTTTAGTCTGCAGAAAATGACAGGAAAAAATGAAGGAATATAAGATTTGGATAGAACATTACTGTCAATACAAAACACTCATATGTATTATGAAATTTTACTTTGTAAAATTATGAAATTATGAATCTGTGAAAATTTTAAAGCTTGCAAAAGACAGCTTCCGGTTAATGGTTCTGAGGAGTTATTTTTCTTCTTTTCTTTTTTTTTTCTTTTTGGTTGTACTCCATTCTTTTCAAAATGTCTACCTAAAATTTTTAAAAAGCACTTTTTAGGGGTACCTAGGTGGCTCAGTGGGTTAAAGCCTCTGCCTTCCACTCAGGTCATGATCTCAGGGTCCTGGGATCGAGCCCCACATCGGGCTCTCTGCTTGGCAGGGAGCCTGCTTCCCCCCTCTCTCTGCCTCTCTGCCTACTTGTGATCTCTATCAAATAAATAAATAAAATCTTTTAAAAAAAGCACTTTTTATTTTATTATAGGCAACAACATACATTTAAGCTTCACGAACATTTCACTGCAGTGAAAACCCAGCTATAGTGTCTGTAGCCGATGTCCCCAGAAATTACTTGGAACTTTTATTACTATGCAAACATTGACTTCTTGAACGTCAGGGCATGGAGCAGGTCAAGACAGAACTTGGGGGGAGGTAAGCAGCTTGTTAGTTTGTGTAGATCCAAGGCCACTGGCCACTCTTCTTTTCCTCATCTACTATCCGTCCTGTTTTCTGTCTTCTCCTTCTGTCCTCTCTTGGGCAGGGAGCATGGATGGGGGTTGTGCAGCATGGCGATTGAAGCGTTGTGCCCTTGGTGCCGATGGCCTTCCTTGCAAGCCCACCGCTCCACGGATGAGCTGTGTGACTTTGGAGAATTTATTTAATGGCTCTGTGCTTTAGTTTCCTCACCTAGAAAATAGATATGCTATCATTCCCATCTTCATGTGCTCTTTCCCTGAGATAACACTTGTTGAGGACTTAGCCCAGTCTCGAGATGGCAGAGAGTAAATGTTCCATTTTATTGGTCATTCTGTTTCCCAGAATTTAAATGGCACCACATTCTGACTTTGGAATGCTGTTGCAACAGTATAATAGACCCCAGAAATATCTTCATTTTTTGGTTAAAATAAAGAAACACCAACTTGGGATATGTACATGTGGTTGAATACAGAAATTCATGCCACCTCCCGCCAAAGTCATCTGAGATGTAGGTGTTGTCTTCTGGGATTTGTTCTCTATCTATCACACAAAACTCATTTTTTCAAAGCACCTGAGTCAGTTGAACATTATCCAGAAAGAACACAGGTGAGAAACTCAAGAGGTGGAAATTACACTTCAGGGGAGTTGACATTTGGTCAGTGATGCTGTTTCTGGGCAGGTGAGTCTCACCTGGTGGAAATGCATCCACTCAGGGGCTACTCTGTTGTCTTCTGTGCTGCCAGTATGGTGGTTTGCCAGACACGGAACTTGGCTCTCTCAGACTTTGCATCTCTGTGGAGAAAGATGGTGCCAAACAGGTCGGTTCAGAGAGGTGACACTTGGTGATGAGCTCAAGAGTTACCTGAAGGGGCATTTGGCAATATCTGGAGACATCTTTGGTTGTCACAACTAGGGAGAGGGTGCAGTTGGCCGGGGGTGTTGCTAAACGTCTTGCAGTGTACAGGAATCCTCCCTTTCCTCCTCACCCAACCAAAACACAGACAGTGGGCTTTAAATGTCAGTAAGCCTCAGGCTAAGAAACTGTTCTAGATAGTCAAGGAACCCTCAAAGAGGAGGGAACCTTTGGGCTAGTAGGTAAGTATGAAAGAGAGCTGTTTGTGCAAATATTTGTGGCAGGACCATTTGAAAAGAGGAACTAGCAAGAACAAAGTCACTGGGATGGGAGTACGCTGGAGGAAGGACAGAAGAGGTTGGAGTGGGAAAGATCAGCCCTCTGGGTAAATCATGTAGGGTTTTGTGGCTGTCGTAGGAGTTATTCAAGTTGCTCAGCGGGCTTTTGAGGTAATTATGAGAGTTTGGATGTTGTTGATTGTTTTGAATTTTTCTCTTTGATTTTCTTTTCCACAGAATTATGGCCTGGAAACTGACAATATGAAGAACTTAGTTCTGAAACTGCGAGCATCTTCTCACAACTTACAAAATTACATAAGTAGCCGGCGGAAAAGTCTGGCTTACGATGGAAACACTTCCCACAAGCCCCCCAATGAGTTCCTGACTTCTGTGGTGGAGCTAATAGGTGCTGCTAAGGCCTTGTTGGCTTGGCTGGACCGGTAAGTGATGCATGGCCTTGACTGTCCAATGGGGGGAGGGCCCGAGCTGCACACAGGCCTGTCCATTGTCGGGGAAGTGAGCCGGTCCCTTGCCTGTCCCTTTCACTGTATCACTGCAGGAGATCTGGCTCAGTGGGGGGTTTTGGGGTCCCTGTGGAAGCTCCTGAAAGGGTGAGTAGTAGGAACAATTAAGCTCCCCTTGGGGAAGGCCTGGAACCGTGTGAAGCTGCGCTTGACCTCTGGAGGGACAGGAATTCTCTTGGCTCACTTCTGATGTGTTTTGAGCTAGCACTTCTCTGTCTCTTTTCTGTTTGGATTCCCGTTTTTGAGAGGAAGCAGTTGCATGACCAGGTTTTGAAACCAGCCCGTGCTGTGGCTGTGCTTCTCAGTGTACGGTGCGGGATCCTGGTGCCCCAGCCCCCCCTTTTTAAAAGAACATTTGTTGCTTTCTAGAGCTCCATTTACAGGGATCACGGATTTCTCAGTAACCAAGAACAAAATCATTCAGCTTTGCCTGGACCTTACCACGACCGTCCAGAAGGTCAGTACATCACTGTTGCTTTCTAACATTGTTTCCTCCCTCTGCCCTGCCCAATTCCTCACAGGGATCACGTGCTTTTTGCTTTTCTGTCCCTTGCCATTTTATCCCCATTTCTCGCAACTGGGGAGAGATGAAAGGCTTTTAATGAGATGCATTGTACAGATGGTTTCTGGAAAATAACCAGTGGCCTTTGCATCAAAGATTGCCTTCTTTTGTTTTAACATAATGGAGCTAGTCAGCCTGTACTTTCTCTAAACTGTCTGAGCACTTAATTTTTTTTAATAGAAGCTCTGGAGGAACTGCATGGCCTTAAGTTAAGGAATGCTAAGGAGGGAAGGAGCACGGGAAGGATTGAGGAGGAATTCAGGTTTAGGTATGGGGCAGGGGTGACCTTCCTTGAGAAGGCGATGCTTGAGTAAATGGACTGGCATGACTCTGTGCCTGTCTGGAGGAAAAGGGCTTCCTGTGTCGTCTTGGGGTGCTTTCCTGATGGTCACAGAGGTACTGACTGTTACGAACTGATGGTAGAAAAAAAATGTCACCATGGCAACTAGGATCCTGAGCCGTTCACCTCAGGAGAAGGCTCCCTACCGACTCGTCACGCTTGCCCCTTCTGCGGGCCCCACACTGCCTGGCACGTGAGAAGAAGTGATTTTTAAATGTGTGTTTAAACAAATGAGATAATACTTTTGACAAATCAGCTGATGAGACTTTGTCACTTATCGGGAGAAATTCAACCAAACAGGGGACACAAGAGGTATGGTTTTGGTTTTCCCTTTGGTGCTCATTGAGCGGGTGCTTCAGAGATAACCATGGGTTCAAATCCTACCTCTACCACTAATTAACCCTGGGACCTTGGATGAGTCACTTAAAACTTAGGAACCTCAATTTTTTTGTCTATAAAATGGGAATACTAATATTTACCTTACCAGATGATTTGACAGGATTTCTAGCAGTTATTGTTGAATAAGAAAAAAAGGAAAAAGAAGTGTAATATAATGGCAAATGGTGACCTCCCCCAAAATATAAAAATGTAGGTATATATGTATTTGTAATACACACACATCCAAAAACCTGTATACAAAGGAGTAAGTGCAGTAGGCAATTTGGAAGAAAAGAAAAGTTGGGTTTTCTTTGGCAGGGAGAGAATTGGGGATGGAGCAAAAGAGCCAAACCCCCTCTTCCCCAGGATGGAAAAGAAGCACTTCTTTCATTTACAAAGAATATTACTTGACCACGTGTATGTATTTGTGTAAAATGAGATATAGAGAAATAATGTAAAATATTTTATTTTAAAATAATAATATCTACCTCAAAAGATTGGTATAAAGATTAAATGAGATAAAATATGTAAAGCACAGTATCCACAAGAAATAATAGCATATAGTAGGAAATATAAAAAAATCATGCCTTATACTGGTTTTCTGGAAACAAAGTTGATGATTTAAGGAGAGAAAGTCGACAAGTATGTTGCTCTCTTTTTTTTCTGTTGTTGGTGTTTTTTTGTTTGTTTATTTAAATTTGAACAATTTTTAAGGATGGTCTGAAACTGGCAAAATATGAATATACATGGGAGTATCATTTTATGAACTTAGATTGAGAAAGATGTTTAGCTCTTGTGAACATATGTTTTCTTTAGCAGTTAGAGAACACAGGTGCCTTGGCAAGTGGAATGTTTGTGTGCACACAAATTAGAAATAACAAACTTGATGAATGAGTTGAATGCCTTTTTCTATATGCCGTGTGACAGCAGCAACAAGACTGAATGAGCCAGGAGACTTCACACTCTCTTCCAGTGAGGAGAAGTACAGTTTTCTCCAGAACTTCTTGGCAGAAGGTCTCTTGACTTTTCCGGAAGAAACCTGTCTTTTCCGTTTATTCCTTTTCTCTGGGAAATTTAAGGAATGAAAGTTGTGTCCTTCTTCCAGTGACAAGGAACATGTTCTCTTTGGGTCTTATTCCTTTTGTCTCTGTCCGTGAGGAGAGCTGTTTGCTTATCCTTCTGCTCCTTTTCTTCCCTTCTTCCCTGTGTTGTCATCCGCCCTTCTCTTTCTTGTCACGTTGTCTGCATCCTTCCGTTTAAGGATAATGTGTTTGTCTCCTGATCTGAAGGGTAAAGAGTTGCTGCTTTTTCCCCTGTGAGGAGACTGCACCCTTCTTGTAAGTGTGCCTCAGCTGCCATCCCACACCAAGTCCACAGATAGAGTTCCCGTCCAGTTTTCAGGCTCTACTGTCCTACGAGGGAAACTCGGGTGGGAAGGGCTGTATCTTCAGTCTGTCCTTGTGAAGTGGCAATGACATGAAAACCGTAGTCCCAGGGGTGAGAGATGAAATGACAATGGCAGGCACTAGAGTTCCACTGTGGAAAAAAATGGGGAGAATGAGCAATAGAAAGCCCAGAAGGACTTCTCACAGGAAGTGAGATGGCCATGGAAGCAGAGGAGAAAGAAGCCACGAGAGCATTTACTGGGTGCTGGTTGTGTCTCAGGTACATGTGACATCTTTTTTTTATCACATTTACTTCTCAGCACATCTCTGAGTTAGGGTTTATCATGCCTGCTTTACAGAGGAAGAGACAAAGCACAGAGAGGGTGACAGGTTGCTGAAGCCTCCTCCGTTGATAAGAAGGTAGAATGAGGAAGAGCCTTGAAGGAAGGGGCACTGATGGTGGCTCTGGCGGGGTGTCTGCCCGGCAGGCTGGCCTAAGTCTGCTGATCTGGGTGACCCAAGGGATATGACAGAGATCAGCTCCACTGCCTGGCTCCTGAGGGGTGACTTGGTTCCAGAACTTCTTTTTCCCATCCCATTGCCTTTATGCCAAACAACATGAAGTCATGCCTGCAGCTGCTTCCTCCCAGGAGGAACAGGTGTGGGAACCCATGTTCATGTGGTGGAAGGTAAAAAGGGAGCTCTTTCGTGCTGACTGGAACAGTTTTGGGAGGCAGGAGAGTCCCTCTCACACCTTGGTTCCAATGCTGCAGGGAGCCCATTTTCTTGGTGGCTTCTTGGATCTGTCAGGGAATTAAGTGTCAGGAACCACGAGAGCCCATAGCTGCCTTGAGTTGTGGGCTCTGGTGTATCGAGAGGAGCCCTCTGTCTGTGGGTGATTATCTCAGGAGGGTGGCAGGGCTCACGTCATTTTGGGATTTGTAGTAAAAAATCATAAACACGTATGATTAGTTTTATTTCTAGCACAAGACAACATAAGTATTGTTTGCTAAGATTGGTGTTTATTTAATAATTCTTTCTTTCCAGTGGTTTTAATAGGGGTTGAACTGTGGTAGTAGTTGATGGTTTAGTTCTGTGCACAAGAGGGAGGAGGAACAGCACATTTTTGAGCTATGATTATTCTGTCTTAGAGAAATTGCTTCTGTAGTTTGAGTTTATATCAGATTCACGCATGTAAAAATACATTTCTAAACTTCTTTTTTAAAGCATGTCCTTACTTGGCTGCTCTTTTCCTGAGAATCCGTAAATTTGGGGAGCAATGGAGTAGTATTGTTTCCCACATTTTTTAATCTAGTAGAGAATTTTTTTTTAAGATTTTATTTGTTTTTTTGACAGAGAGAGATCACAAGTAGGCAGAAAGGCAGGCAGAGAGAGAGGGGGAAGCAGGCTCCCTGCTGAGCAGAGAGCACGATGCGGGACTCAATCCCAGGACCCTGAGATCATGACCTGAGCCGAAGGCAGAGGCCCAACCCACTGAGCCACACAGGCGCCCTAGTAGAGAATTTTTTTTAGGAAGACACCAAAAATCTGATTACAGAATCGTATAGGGTAGAGTATCATACATTTCTAACCCAGCACCCCCCCAACCCCGTGATAGTAGAAAAATGAACTCAAATGACTTTCGATTGAAGTAAAAATCTTTGACAATTCCAACAGCGTTGATTAAGATCTTTCATGTCCATGAAAGAATTAGGATGTCCTAGTTTGGGATTAGACTAGACTTAATGGTGCAAAAGAACTGTAAAGAATCTAGTCCCCTTTTTTTCTGTGTACTGTGCCCTGTGGGTGGGACACCTCTGCTGTAGACCAGTTCTAGAAGGTTAACTGTGAGAGTCTGACGTCAGCGGCTTCACTCTGACCACTTTTAGAGGACAGTGGTGACTCCTGTAATCAGCCAACCGGGTTTGTACAGTTCTGAGTCTTTTGTTCTCAAGCTGAGTAAATAATGCTTTGCATTCCAGCCCTTTATTTAATGTCATCAATAGCATACCTCAAGACCACTTTTTTGGCAGTGTGTTAATGAATGTTTTGTTGAACCTTTTTCATTTATTAAGAACTGAGATATCTGATTTAATCTCGGTGGTGCTTAAAATAAACTTCTGTGGCTACGTTTACTCAAGCCCTTATTTGAAAGCTATTCTTATAGGCAGGCCCAGAGCTAAAAGATTCCTGGCTTGTTGGCCAAGGGCTGGCTGAGCGTGGGGTCATGTTCAGGAGCCATTGTTCAGGTTTCCTGGACTTGACTACTGGCTTACTGTTCTCTGCCCAGTCTAGATGGTCGGTGGGTTTCAGTTCAGTTATTTTTCATAGGTTTTCTGATTAAGTTATTGGTCAGATGCATTCCTTGGATGATAAGCTCCTTTGGTCAGGAGAGAGCAGAGCCTTGGGAGGGGTTGGATGCCCCGCTCTGTGCCCTCTGAATTCAGTGCAGGACTCCTTGGGTTGCAGGGTGAGGGGTGTGCAGCCACATCTTGGGCTCCAGGAAGTACCTGTAGAGCTAAGCCAACAGTCTTGGAAATTTTTAGCTCTTACGGTTTTATTCTTCTTTCCTTCATTAGGATTGCCTTGTAGCAGAAATGGAGGATAAAGTTTTAACTGTAGTAAGTATACCTTTTAAAAATTACTGTAAAATTCCTTTCCCCAAACCAGTGGGACTCACATCAATTCGAGCAAGAACTCTGTGGCTAATTCCTTCAGGATATACTTTGAAATACTGGGTTTTGGGGACTTAAGGTCAAAAGGGAAGAATGAAAGTTATTTAATAACAAGAAAATGACTACTGTGAAAATTCCTGTGCTTGGGTAGATGGAGGTCTCTCTCTCTTCCTAACATTTCAGTAGGTACAGTTATACTTAAATTACTAGCTAGGCTGGTAATCAAGGGTACACTGATCTGCAGATTGCACTTTAGGAACATTTTGATTAAAAAAAAAAAATCCTTGGCAAAAACCTTATGATGGAGGGGGGGATGTGCTGTGATTGTTTAAAGAAATTTTGTGACTTAGTCATCATTGCTTCCTCCCTTTGACATAAGCTGGCCTGTGCTCTTTTGATAAGGCCTTCCTCCCACTGATGTTGAGGAATTTAGCAATGAAACAGCTATAAATATATTTTCCATAAATAGGGAGGCTAAACAAATTGGGGGAATGTAAAAAGTGTCACTTCTTGGATTTTCCCCCTTGGAAAAAAAAAAAAATTCTCTTTGGAATTTCCTGATTTCTTTGGTGGCTTAATTTTGAAAGGTTAGATGAAACTGACTGGAGGAAACCACCACATGTAACCATGGTTATTTTTACCTGGAGACCACTTACCAAGGATCTTCATGGCTCAAAAATTTTACCTTGTCAATGTTTGGGGTCGGAGAATGTGAGCCATCGCTAAAAAGATCATACATTCTAAGTATAAAGCACAAATCTCTTTTTTTTTAGATTTTTTAAAATTTATTTATTTGACAGACAGAGATCATAAGTAGGCAGAGAGGCAAACAGAGAGAGGGGGGAAGCAGGCTCCCCGCTGAGCAGAGAGCCCAATGCGGGGCTCGATTCCAGGACCTGGATCATGACCTGAGCCAAAGGCAGAGGCTTTAACCTACTGAGCCACCCAGGCGCCCCAAGCATGAATCTGTTTATTGCCTAGATTACAACAGGAGAAAATCTAGGTTAACCTTATGTTTGCTGATGAATGTTTAGATAAAACACCAAAGATAGAATCCATGAAAGAAAAATTGGCAAGGTAGATCTCCTTGAGATGGAACACTTTGCTCCATGAAATGCAGTGTTAAGAGGATGAAAAGACAAGCCAAAGACAGGGAACAAGTATTCTTAAAACACATACCAGATAAAGAACTTGTATCCAAAATATACAAAGAACTGTTGAAATGCAATAATAAGAAAATAAACCCAGTTAAAAAGTGGGCAAAGGATCTGAACAGACGTCTCCAAAGAAGATAGGCATTTGACAAATGAATATAGGGAACAGTGTTCAGCATCCAGTTTCATTAGGGAATTGCAGATTAAAACAGTAGTGAGACACCACTACACACCTATTAGAATGACTAAAACCCAAAACACGACAACACCAAATGTTGGCCAGGATTAGAGAAGTAGTTGATTGCTGGTGGGAATGCAGAATGGTACAGCCCCTTTGGAAGATACTGCAGGAGTTTCTTGCAAAACCAAGCCTATTCTTACCCTTTGATCTAGCAGTTAGACCCCTGGGTGTTTACCTAATTACAGAAAACCTACGCAGAAGGTTATAGCAGGTTTATTCACAATTGCCAAAACTTGGAAGCAGCCAAGATGTCCTCCAGTAGGTGACTATATAAACTGGCACATGTAGACAGTAGAATGTCATTTAGAATACTCAGGATATTCCAGTTACTTATAAAAAGAAATGATCTGTAAAGCCATGAAGAGCTAGGGCAGAACCTTAAATGCACTTGACCAAGGGAAAGCAGCCAAGCTCAAAAGGCTGCATATTGTATGATTCTTATTATTTGACGTTCTGGAAGAGGCCAAACGACAGAGACAGTAAGCAGGTCAGTGATTGCCAAGGGTTCATTGTGGGGAGGGTGAGAGAGGTGGAGCAGGGGGGTTTTAAGTAGTGAAATTAGTCTGTATGGTATATAGTGGTAGATACATGACATTATGTGTTTGTCAAAACCCATGGAACTATACACCCCAAAGAGTGCACCCTGATGGAAACTGTGGACTCTCTTTTGATAAAAAGCTACCAGTTTTGGGTCATCGGTTGTAACAGATGTACCATACTAATGCAGAATGTTTTTGTATCTTGTTCTTATTAGCCGTGTTATAGCTATTACTGGAAATTGTGTTGGGGTGGGGAAGGCAGTACAGGGAAATGCTGTACTTCGTGCTCAGTTTTTTTGCAAGCCTAATAAAATTGCTTTAAAAAGAAAATCTATTAAAAAAACAGCTGCAGACAAAAAAATAATTCTTCTCGCCTTGTGAGTATTTGATAGGCACAGAATGTGAGTGATCGCTAAGACATCATGCAGAAGGCTGGGAAGAGGTGATTCTCTTCCACCACCAAATGGGGGTTTCTGTGCAGTCTCTGCTTTTTAGTGGCCGTAATTCTTAGAAGAGCTGTACGCTTTAAACAAACCCCAAGTAGTGGCACCATTTCTACAGATTGCAAATGCAAAGTTCACGTGCCTTGGCTTCCTGGAGTAGCATTATTAAAATGACTGCTGGTAGGAGCTCAGGATTGTGGGGGAAGTGCATTTCTTTAAAATTCAGATTGAGATAAACTTGGTTAATGATCGAACCTTCCCTGTTTGCCTCTCCCAACTTGAGGTCAAGGTTTTAAATGGCATCTGTGACAAAACAATACGATCTACTGCGGATCCTGTTATGAGCCAGTGTGCATGTCTGGAAGAGGTTCACTTGCCAAACGTTAAACCTGGGGAAGGCCTGGTAAGAATTCTAGCAATACTTGCTTTCTTTTCCTTTCTTCTTGTCTCTTCTCTTCTCTTCTCTTTTTCTTTTCTCTTCTTCTTTTAATTATTTTGAAGATTGATTTATTTGTGGGAGAGAGAGAAATTGAGAGAATGAGTGAGGGGAGGGGCAGAGGGAGGAGCAGACCCCCTGCAGAGCCTGGCTGGGGACTCGATCCCAAGACCCCAGAATCATAACCTGAACTGAAGGCAGGGGCTTAACCCACTAAGCCACCCAGGTGCCGGAAATACTTGTTTCCTTTTCACATAATAACATACTATCATTTATTAAAGTTTTTTTTTTTTTCCTGACTCCTTATTGCTTTTAATATGATTCTGAATAGAATTAAATTCAATTGTCTTCCATTATTCAGTTAGGAATTTACCATCTTGAACTGTTGGTATGTTTTATGTCTTCGGTGTATAAAAATAAATACAGTTTTTAAACTATATTCTCATATCTTGAAGGAATTGTCTTAACAATTTTATTTTTAGGACTTGGCCATGCAGGGAGATATAAAACATTTACACAAAGGAAAGATGGTTTCTGGGTACAAAACAACATCTGCTCTGAAAGTCTGTATTAGCACTTAGGATGAATGTGAGAAGAGCCGGTGAAACAAAATGATTTCTTAAAAACAAGTTCAGAAATGTTTCATAAGCGCTGTACGAGCCCTATACGAACAGGCCCTGAGCGTACACACCGGCAGATTCCTTCCCTGGATCTGTGCCTCGGTACCTACATCTTCCAGCGGGGAGGCTACAAGGCTCCCTGATGAGCTTTTCAGGGCTGTGAGTTTGAGAGAGCTCGGTTTCCTCATCTGACAGAAGTGAACACTAATAATTACTGCCTCACAGAGTTGTTGAAATCATTAAATTAGATGAGGAGTGCTGGGTACCAGCTGCTGGACGCATGGTTCCCATGCAGTCCTTGGTGGCTGTGCAGGTTCTGATGCTGGCACTGATGAGGACGAAGGCAGCGGGGAGGAGGAAGGCGGCGGGGAGGAAGGCCTAGTGTGTAGGTAGCTGTGGGGAGACACCAAGGCAGACTCCACTCTCAGGAAAACAAAAACCAACTGAGTATTGACAAGTTCAGTCTTAGTACGTAGCAATATGCATGTTGAGACTTCTTGGGTTCACCTGATGGATTATAGTAGATTAATCAGGGAAGACTTCCTGGAGGTGAGTTCATAGTTCTGGCTTGAAGCAGAGAAATACCCCAAATGGGCAGAAGTAGACTTGCTGTTTTCAGATGGAAAGTTCTATAAGCAAATGCTTTGGAAGGAGGAGTTGCATAGATCAGGAGAAGGGGATTCCTCTGTGAGTGAAAGAAACAGGAAAGGAGAGGAATGGGGAGACCCTTGAAGGTGTTAGCATTTGATGAGATTCTTACTACAGAGTGGTGTAGGTTGCTGAGCAGGACAAGTTCAGGGTCAAAATGATTTCTGAGGAAGATCTACATTACTGCAGATTTGATATGTTATTGCAAATTCGATACTACTCTTTGCCCAGTCGACTTTTTTGTTCTTCCCCCTAATCTTATAAACATTTAATAAAATTTTTTTATGTGTGGTACATCAAACAGTGGAAATGTTTCCTCCATGGTACGGCATTTGCCTGTGAGTTTGCTCACCAGGCCTGTCAGCGGGAGCACATTTGGCTTTACCCTTCCCTTAAAACGGAGCCGTGCCTGTTTCTGATTTACTCCCTGTGCCATGTTGTTTAATAATCTTGGCTCATGTATCCTAGTCCGGGTTGCTGGTGGCTTAAGCAAGTCACCCGTGGTGACTGCTGATCCCCCATTTATCTGAATATATCGTGTCACCCAAGAGATGGTCAGGAGAGAACAGTTCTTGTTTGAAATGCCTCATTCATTCCGTGGGTCTGAGAAGGTGCCTTCCGAGTCCCCAGAGTTATGGGAAAATTCTCTGTGCCCAGTACACAAATTATAATACCAGAGAGATCCGGCTCCTGATTTCTTTCATGAGTGTTTCCCTTTGTGAGCTCCCTTCACTGCTCCTTGGCTCTGGTTTCCCAGTGTTTCAGGCGGCTTAGAAATGAGCGTTGTCCCGAAGCGATTGGCCTTTAATGTTTTATAAGATGAAGTCTTCCTGGCGGCTATGTTTCTGAATGTTGGAGTAATGAGTTAATATGTTTGTGACTCCCTCTAGGGCATGTACATCAAATCAACCTATGATGGATTGCATGTGATTACTGGAACCACAGAGAACGTAAGTGCACACATCCGTTAAATGTAAAAGCTATCGTGTATTTAAACAAATGTGACGCATGGTCCCTATACTTTTCGTTCCAACGTGTTCATCCTATTTTATTATCTGCGGTGAGAGCGTGGGTGCTGTTTTGTTTATTTCTGTTGCTAGCATACTGCTTATCCCCAGCTGTTGGGAATTTATTATTTAAATTGTCTTTTATTGCTGTTGTTCACATACCTTGCCCAGTTTTTACCCCCCACCTTTGTTAATTATTCCTTTTGCACCCTGGAAGTGTTAACCCATAAGTCTAAAAACAATGATCTCTTTGTGGTTGAAAACCACTCTTATAAGAACTGAAATTAGTAGCCATATGTGTAAAATACAGTTTTTTGTTGATGTTTAATGGAATTTAGATGGATCACCAGAGCAGCTATTTTGGGACTTTTACACAGTGTAGATACTTTTTAGAGTTGTGTTTTGTAATATTTGGCGTGATACTGAAATTTAGTACCCTCCCCGCCCCCCCGCCCCCAATCTTTTGAATAGAAAAAGCAGGGCTGCTTTTCCTGTGAGAGTCTTTGTACACTGTTCACTTCCTTTTGGAAATGCTGCTCCGTGAAAGGTTTTCTTGAGCCCCTCTAACATTTTGAATTTGTAAAAAGTAGAGCTAATTGAATGCTTTCTTTTTGTAACCTACAATATGGCTAGTTTTTGATGACATTGATATGAGGGTAGAAATGTTAGAATAGCTTCCTGGATCTGTATGAAAGAAGCATGTGTCTGTGGAACTAATCTGCTGTTTAATCAACTAAGACAAGAGGAAATAATTTCTAAAAATAGAAGAAATTTGGTAACTCCTCTGATCTGTTGGAAATACGTGTTGAATTTTGAACTCGAGTTGCAGCGTCTTTTGATAAAATAAAACGGCATGATCTTTGATGAGGGTTTGTGACACAAGCTTGATATTCATAGCAAGAAAGAAGTGACGTTGCTGAAGGTAGTCAGTGAATTTTAAATATGGTGTGGGGATCTGGGAGAGGAATGAGTGGAAGATGGTGGTGTCTAAGCCTTCTTTGTCGAGCTGCTGTGAGAACACATTGAGAAGCGATAGGAATTTTTTTTGGCATATCACCTGATAGGTGGTAACAGCACGGGAAGTTCTGCTTTTAGGTCAGGGATGGTGCAGAAGAGGAAATGCGTAATTCATTACTTGGTTCATCCCTCATTCTTGTCAGAGGCTTGGTATATTTCAGGTCAACCAAAATGAGAACATACTTGTGTACCACTGGTACATTGTTTGGGAGTTGGAAGGATTCAGGGGGACAGTGAAGGTCATTTCAGTTTTTAAAGAGTTTAAGTTTGCATTCAGCGATTTAGTGATTGCCTTGTTTAATTAACCACCAGACCTGTGTGGTTGCAGACTCTCCCTGGTCTCCTTAAAGCAGTTTTCATCTTGGATAGATGTGTAGTTCGCTATCCTGTTACTGCCAGAAGGCACACAGATTTCTCCTCTTCAAACCAGCCCCCCCGTCCTTTGGCTTTGAGGATGAGAGTTGAATGAGAGACGAAACAAGCTGCTTTTGAATGAAGTAAAATGTCAAATGCAAAGGTACACTCTCCTGGAATTCCTACAAGACTCAGTAAGACTGGATGAGAGGTTCAGGGTTGACGTGGATGTAGTTGATCCCATGCAGGATTATACAGAAGTCACCCTAGAGACACAGGCGGTTTCCATCTTGTGAAAGATCAAAAAAGGGAAAACTTGTCTTATTCCTTCTGGCAATCCATTTGAGAATGTCACTCATTCTTTTCAGTCATTGAGCTTGTGTTCACAGAGTACCTGGAATGTGTGAGACACTTGCTAAATCTTACAGATGGGGGTGGGGACCGTAGGTAAAATCCTACTTCTCAAGGGCTTAATCTGGGTATTTGACCCTAAATGCTACATGTTTTACACTTAAATGGCAGTAGAAAATGCCAGCTGCCAGCTCTGGGACAGCCTTCCAGCTAGCACTTAACGGTTGTTGTGACTTTCAGATCAGAATGCCGGTTAGTTATGTATGTATGTATGTATGAATGAGAGAGTGCAAGCAGGGGGAGGGGCAGAGGGAGAGGGAAAGAGAGACATGGCCTCTCGAGCAGACTCCTCACTGAGCTCGGAAGCTCACACAGGTCCCCAGATCATGACCTAAGCCCAAATCAAGAGTCCGATGCTCAACCTACTGAGCCGCCCAGGTGCTCCCAGTGTTAGAATGTGTTAAAGGAAGCCTAGTGTGGTGGTTGGTAGTGGATGGAAATCACCCATTGCATTCCCTGTGTTTATCTTGGACTCCAGGCTGAAGCAAAGACAGCAGGTCATCTTAGGCCTCCAGTCCATTTTGGGGGGAGGTTACCCGAGAAGTCAGGATCACTCCAAGGTCAGCCTAACAGTATCTAGTGATTCTCAATGACTTCTTTTTTGAAGTTGTCCAACACCTTGACAGGATCTCATCCATACTTCTGTTCCCCACCTCTGAGATGATGTGGGAATTCGATTAGCCTCTGAAGAATGGATGTATTCTTCTCCGGGTCATCACCCTTTTGCAGAAAACCAGAACAAGCATCATTTTTCAGTAGCCTGGCTCATGGTGAGAATAGGCAAGAGTCACTGCCCCAGGGAGAATTTTGGTATCAAGCTCTCTCTTTACCAGTGTTCTGCCAAACACCTCTCTTCATCACCTGGTACGACATTTGAGAAATGAATGCATGAGGATCCCTAGGAAGGAAAGTCAATTCAGGACATTTAGGATTGGTTTTTAAGATTGCACATCCATAAACAAGAACATCCTAGCCTCAGGACCATCTTTTTAAAGTGAAGTTTACCTTAAGTGAACCCCAAGCCGGGAAGATTATCTGGGTTGGACTGATTCTGACTGGACTTAACGGGGATTGGTCTCTAACTGTGGGTTAAGCAACTGCCATGCAGGGGCAAAAGGGAGCCTAGACACAATCTGTTTTTTTTCTTTCAGTGCCTCAAGAGAAAGAGATTGAGGTAGACTATCTCCCTGAGGTACCCACGGTGCAGGTCTCTCAGGGAAGACACTGCTGGTTGTTATGGTGGCGGAAAAATAACTCTCAATTCCCTGTACCTTGCGTTGGCTCTAGATACATTGAAGGGACTATTTGTACAGTTTAATGCTGCTTGCTTATTTCTTGTTGAGCCTGTCCTAACAGTTGAGCAAGAAGATTCAGCCAAGGATGTCTTGTGTCTGGTTCCCATCCTCTTGACCATGTTAAGAGGTGCTGCTTTTTTTTTTTAGAAAAATAATTATAAATATGTCTGAAGATTCAGTCGGTTACATAAGTTACCAAATAAAATACTCTGGCCTCGAGAACATTAAATTGTAATTTGAAATCAAGGTTTTATCCTTTTCTTCGCTTTTGCTCATAGGAGACACCTTAAACACAGAGAGTGCTAGTTTCATTAATTGAACAGAATATTGTGGACAAATATTTGAGAAATAGATTATATAGGTATTTATATGCACACATAAGTGGAGAGAAAGCTATATATATATATATATATATATGTGCAGATTTGTAGCAAAGTATTATTGGGCAGAATCAAAATCTGGACTTCGGATACTGAAAACCCATTCATTTTTGGATTCAACCTGAAAATGACAAAAATTTAAATTTGTTTTCTCTAAAGAAGTACATTAAATTAAATTCATTTTCTTTAAAGAAGTACATTTTCCAATGTCACCGTCTTTCCGTGCTATAATAGCATTGTGATGATGCGTAAAACAAGGTTGAGTAGACAAGAGTTTGTGTTAATAATTGCTTAAAAGGAGATATGAACATCACCATAACAATGGTTTTTACGTGTTAAGCAGTTGGTCAGCTTTTACAGGACTAATTTTGATAGGGATCTAGGGTAGATGAACCAAAGAAAGCCTTTTTTATTAGTTCACTGTGTCGCAGGATGTCCCATTTTTCCTGATGGGTTAGATGGACGTGGCTGCATGTCCCACTCTTCCTGGTGGGTTAGGTGGACCCAGCTGTTGGAACAGACAGATGGTCTGGACCAGCCAGCCATTCATCAGGTGGGGAACATGAGTGCCCACCCCCACGCCAGGCTCTACAGACCATATTGTCTTGGGATTATCTCATAAGTGCTCCATGTAATAGTTCTGGAGAAAATGGTATTTCTGCTCCTCATTGTCTGCAGAAGAAAGGAGGAGGAAGAAATAGAAGCAGAAACAAATAGAAGATTTATAAAAATAAGACAGGTCTCTGTGTTTGTTCCTAATAGTCTCCTGCAGACAGATCTCAGAAGATACACGCTGGTGATGAAGTCATTCAGGTTAATCAGCAGACTGTGGTGAGTTTGTTCATTGAGACCTAAGACTTATCCTATTCCCCTCTAGAGCTTTTAACTAAATCCAAAACCATTTTGCTTGAACTTTTGAAATTTGTGACTTTTGTCCAATTTTCCATAGTTTTAAGTAGTGCTCAGATGGACACACTAGTGTCTGCTTAGTTGCTCACAACTGATTTCCTTGAAATAAATTCAGATTTGATTTTTCGTAACTCACAAGTAAGTCCCTTCTCATTTTCTTTCTTTGAAGGTGGGATGGCAGCTAAAAAATCTGGTGAGAAAATTGAGAGAGAATCCTACAGGAGTCGTATTACTGCTAAAGAAGCGCCCCACGGGTTCTTTCAACTTTACCCCCGCTCCCCTGAAAAACCTCCGGTGGAGACCGCCCCTCGTGCAGGTATCCGTTATTGGTTGTAAACCTTTTTCTTTCTTTCTTTTTTTTTTTTTTTTAAGATTTTATTTATTTATTTGACAGACAGAGATCACAAGCAGGCAGAGACACAGGCAGAGGTGGGGTGGGGAAGCAGGCTCCCTGCTGAACAGAGAACCCGATGTGGGGCTCGATCCCAGGATCCTGGGATCATGACCTGAGCCGAAGGCAGACACTTAATCCACTGACCCACCCAGGCGCCCCTGTAAACCTTTTTCTGCCCTCTACGCATGAACTGTGTTGAGGATCAGATTTGTCTCCAGAAAGAACAGTTACCATTTGAAGGTGGTTGGTTTCAGGAGTTTGCGTCTACGCAATCATTCTCTAGTCCTACTTCAGTGAGAACACAGGTTCTAGATTTTGCACTCATCACAAGTGACTGTTTAAATGATAAAATAAAATGAAAGGTCCAGTTCCTTGGCCTCATTAGCCACACTTCAGAGGTCTGGTAGCCTCGTGTGGCTAGTGGCTGTCATCATCACTGCAGAAAGTTCGTTCTGGTCCTTTTCCCCTCTCCTTTCAAACACATCTGACGCGGTTTGAGCACTAACCCTGGAGAGACCACCTGGGGTGGAGTCTGGCCAAGGCAGGGCTAGGCATGGTGGGAATCGGCCATACAGCGGGGAGTAGGACCACTGCATTGTTTAGTTCAGAGCTGGCAGACTCGAGTCATCAGCAGCAGGAGACGGACTTACGGCATCGTGTCGGATACTGTCGTAGAATTCTGTACGAACAGTGCACTCCCTTTTCCCCACAGCTGGGTGGAGTGTGCTCAGGGGCCAGACCCCCTCCTGATATCATTGGTCCTTAGTGTTTATTTCTTAAATCATAAATAAAAAGCAATGACACTCTTTTAATGCCCTTTTTTAAGACTGAGATTGTAATTTATGTGGAACCATCTGCTATTTTACGGTTCGTCTTCAAATGGAAGGAGTGGTAGTGGTCTCAGGCTCTCCGTTTGGACCCTCTGTGATACATACAGCGTTGGAAATACACCTACACGTGTACCTCGATGCGGGGTTTAAAATAAATAACAGGGGCACCTGAGTGGCTCAGTGGGTTGGGCCTCTGCCTTTGGCTCAGGTCATGGTGTCAGGGTCCTGGGATCGAGTCCCACATCGGGCTCTCTGCTCAGCAGGGAGCCTGCTTCTTCCTCTCTCTCTCTCTGCCTCTCTGCCTACTTGTGATCTCTCTCTGTCAAATAAATAAATAAAATCTTTAAAAAAAATAAAATAAATAGGATATGGAGTAAGGAAGGACACATAATTAAAATCACTTCTTAAATAATAACTGATAAATAAATGATTTATAAGTCAATTCTTATAAATAATCATCTCTTAAATAATAACAATATCAATCACACCCTGACTGTGATGGGGCAATGCCAGTGAAAGACTCATGCAAAGAGGTCATTTGGAAGAAGCATGAAAGAGACTCACAAAGCAGCACAGCCTAGTGGTTAGACAGGGGGCTTAGAGTTCAATTTCTCCAGTTCAAATCCCAGCTCTGCCACTTACTAACTACGGGATCTCTGATAAGGTATTCAGTCTTTCTAAACCTCACCCCTAATTATTGGTATTTACTGTGAGAGAAAGCTGGGGCAACTGAGTGGCTCAGTTGGTTAAGCATCTGCCTTCGGCTCAGGTCATGATCCCAGGGTCTTGGGATCAAGCCCCCACATTGGGCTCCCTGCTCAGTTGGGAGCTGGCATCTCTCTCTCTCCTTCTGCTTCTCCCCCTGCTTGTGTTCTTTCTCTCACACATCTGTGCACTCTCTTTCTCTCCCTCTCTCTCCAAAAAAAAAAAATAAATTAAAAAAAAAAAATCTTAAAAGGCTTTGGGCCAAGGGATGAGGAAGGCAAGCAAGGCAGGTGTGCAGTGTGACATTGAACCTGGCTGGTGATACCAGTGACAGAAATTAGAGTCAGGAAGGCAGAGATGGTGCATCTTCTGAGAATCACTGAGTCGGAAGTAAGGGGGGGGACGGTTCAAGTGCCTGTGTTCAAGTCTAAGTGGAAGCTGTTTTTAGGTACAGGCTAGAGTTAGTCCCTTGATGTCTGGAAATTCACTTCAGAAGGGCATGCTTCCCTCCTCTCTGGCTTTGTCCACCTTCCTGCCAAGTCCCACTTAATGTGCGGTTTTGGGGACCAGTTGATGGTGAGGGAAGAGATACCTAGTTTTGCTTCTGACCCAGGGGGAGAACCAGCATCACAGCTGAGAGGCCGTTTTCACAGCTTAGCTACCAGGTGTTCTCATGACGGGTGCAGGATAGTTGCAAAATATAAATTCTGGAACACTGACACTCCCTGACATTGCTGTGTGTCATTCTTCAGGCTTCATGCCTGGGCACCCACCTCTTGTGGGAGGGCGTTTCTTTCATTCTTGTCACCATCATTAATGTTGCCTGTTCCTGAGAAGGTGTCCTTGTTGGTTTTAGGCCATCATCCTGGTAAATGAGAGTTCTTCTTACAGCCGGAATCAGCAATGCTGGAGTCTTTGGAGAGCGCCCACTCTGTGCCAGTGCTGTACTGTACTTCTGCTAACACTCGTGGGGGGCCTCGATGCTGTTTTCAGCATTTTTTCAGATGCTGTTAATCAGTTCTATATTGAGTAGAGTTGACTGTGTTGGTGGCCACCATCCAGATTGTAGGGATCATGTCACAGGAGACTAAAGACTAAGCCCCCATTTCTCTTGAGTCTGGGGGTCTCCCCCTAAAACAGGGCTGTCACTGTGAGTACATTCCAGTCCTTCCAGTCCTTAAATATAGCTCATGATCTCACTTGGGGGCTACTGTGGGGTCTTTGGTCACCATCCCAGCTGGATAGGGTTTGAGGTACCAGGGGCCAGGCACAGTTCTTGTGTGGCCATCACCACCCACTGGCTGTCACCAAAGGTCTTTATGCCTCGACTCTGGGATTTTGTCAGCGTTCCTTTACCCGCCAGAAAGTGTGTCGTCGTTGTTAGTCTATAGAAGAAATAAGACTTGAAGGTCTCACATAAGATTTTAAAAAATAGGTCCTTTTGAGCCTAATAACATAATTAAAATCAAGCTGTAAGGATTTTAAAATTCTAAAATTAACTTGTATGGATATGTGACAAAAAGTGCATAAGGTTGTACACTTACTGTGTGACGTGCAGTGTGCTAAGCCTATGACGTGTATCGTGTCACTTAATTCACCTTCTGTGGGTGCTATTCTTATCTCGTTTATTCCCGTCTTATAGATGAGGCACAGAGAAGTTGAGCGGTTTGCCCAGAGATACACAGCTAATGAGAGCTGTAGCCAGGATAGCACCCGGACGGAGGCCCAAGCCCATGCTCCTGTGCATGATAACATCGCTACTGATTTGTATGAACTCACTCAACCAGTGTGGGCCACGGCCCAGTGCAGGAGCTACTGTCAGGATGGCTGTTTTTTGAGGAGGAAACAGACAAGGGTATTTAAGCAATTTGCTCAGAGATAGAATTCTAATCTGGCTTCCAAGCCTCTACTTTTTTTTAATTTTAAGATTTATTTACTTATTTGCGAGAGAGAGAGAGAGAAAGAGAGTGCAGGCATGCAGATCGTGAGTGGGGAGGAGGGGCAGAGGGAGTGAATCTTTCAAGCAGACTCCATGCTGAGCACAGAGCCTGATGAGGTACTCGATCCCACGACCTGTGCCTTCGTGACTTGAGCCAAAACCAAGAGTCAGATGCCCAACTAACTGAGCCACCCAGGCACCCTCTTCCCTCTACCCCCAAGCCTCTACTTCTTCCTACGCATCTAGTCTTTCAAAATGCCCAGTTGATTCTGAGTGTCTCAAAGACTATGCATTGAGTGTTGCTAATAGTTGTAAACACACAAATGACGTCAGCCCTCAGTGTTGGCTTTGGGGAAGGAGAGTTACCCAAGAATAATCTCACCTCTGCCCTTTGCACTGGCCTCCATTTCAGGCCTCACCTCCACCCACGACAACCCAGTCCCCTGAAAGCACTATGGATACCTCGCTGAAGAAGGAGAAGCCAGCCATCCTGGATCTTTATATCCCTCCTCCGCCGGCCGTTCCCTACTCTCCCCGGTACGTCAGCGTCTGTTGGCGGTGTGCATGCCCGTCTCCTGTGCGTGGAGATTTGAGTGGCGGTGTGAAGGGCATGAGGATTTCAAGGGCAGAAGTTGATGTACTCCAGGGTGACAGGGCTAAGTCTTGAAATGGCAGTTGTTCTATAGAGTGTGGTCCTGGGAGTAGGGGTGGGAGGAATGGGTGAAGGGGGGGGTGGTCACAAGGTCCAGACTTCTAGTTACAAGATAAGGAAGCTGTGGGATGTCATGAACAGCACGGTGATTATAGTTAACAATATTGTACTTTGTATCTCCAGGTTGCTGAGAGAGATTTTAAAAGTTCACATCACAAGAATAAAAGCATTTGTAACTGTGTGAGGTGATGGGTGTTAACTTTTTGTAGTGATCATTTCACAATAGGTACATGAATCAAGTCATTATGTCATACACCTAAAATGAACCCAACATTATATGCTAGTTATTTCTCAATAAAACGGGGAGGGGAATGTGTGATCGTTTAGGGAGAAATGTAGGGATGGATCCAGGTTTCATGGGTCTTGAAACTATGTAGTTTGATGGAGAGAAGACTCTCTATGTAGAGAAAGCATGCATTCTTGGGAATGCATTGTTTTAGCTCCTCCTGGAACACTGGAAAGGGCTGTTTGGGGGTCCCTGAAGCTGAAGTTTCATTATGTATAAGGTCATATCATCGTCATATCATCTCTGGGGAGGAAGATAATACATATTTTTGTGCAGCAAGTTAAAGTTAAGCTGTATTTTGGGGTAGACTTGTGTTCTTCATAGGACTTAAGAAATGTGAATGGATGTGTGGTACTTGTGGTTGCGGGTGTTTGTGTGTCTCTTAGAAGTTCTAGAAGACATTCTTAATTGGCACATGGTATAACGAGGCTAGCCATATTAGCTGTTCCATGGGGGATTATTAAGGTGTGAAATACAGGTTTATTTATACCAATTTACCTATTTACGGAGAATTTAACTCATTTATTCAACATAAGTTTAGTGAGTGCGAGGCCTGCATCACCATTTTACACAAAACAGATGCGGTTCTTACACCCAGAGAACTGCCAATGTCTTAGTCAGCTGTTCAAGAATAAATGGAGAAATACATAATTATGGTATAATATTTCTTAAGAAAAAGTTCAGGCTGAATCTTACAGTGATATGTTATTTTATATTGGAAGTTTTTTGTTGTTTTTTTTTTTGTTTGTTTGTTTTAAGCTGAGTGTTTGAATCTGTCCTGTTTCTTCCCTGGGCACAAGGAAAAATGAACATCGTTTTCCTCTCCCTAGCTTTGGGCCACCCAGAACTTAGTACAGCGCATAGAGAACCTTAGCTGATCAGAGGCATGCTAGTTGGTAGATGGGACCCTTCCCTGTCTTCACAGACCAAGTCCTGTGGTCACAGGATCTTAAATGCGTTTCAAGTGACAGGTAGTTGCCTTTGCACATGGAGAGCACAGTTTCACTGATGACCTGTGTGTGGGTGGTTTTATAAGAAACCAGGAGGCTACTCCCTAACCCCCAACTCTGAATGTTCTTGTCTGGGTGTCAGTGAAGGGTCACAGAGCAGTGGCAGGAAAAAGGGTACGTGCATAGTAAAGGGGAAAGTGAACTGGAGCTTTTAAGCTTCAGGGGAGACACACATGCACACATGATACATACGCACACATGCATACACACATACACTTACACACCATTAATGAAGGATACCTTCAGAGGAATGAAACATGCACATGGTTACCGAGAACGAGAGGTGAGTCTTGAGAGCTTTGTGACTGGGGCAGTTATATTCCAGGGTTAAAAGTATAGAAGGAGATGGATTTGTAGAAGGAAAAGGGGGGGGGGTGCACAGGCAGGAGATTCACTGGGAATACCAAGCAGACAAAGCTGATCTTTAGATGATTTTTGGACTCAGTTGATGTTGTAATTTGTCTAGTAGTTTTTGCAATGATCACCTAAGAGACTTTTCTAAATGCAAAAAAAAGGTAACTAGCTCATAACTTGGATTCAACTAGAATTAAGTTTTAGGAAAGCTGACATGTAGAAAGAATTAAGTTGGAGTCCCTAAGCCACACTTTCCAGTTTCTGTAGGGAGTTCAGAAAACAGACACTCTCCATTGGGTATGATAAAGGCGCCTTTATATTTTTTGACATAATTTTCAAACCTAAAACAACTCCATTACACATCCAGTGTCTTCTCTGCTAGATCTTGGCAAAGATACTACTTTGGGCCTCAAAAAAATGGCTCAATCATACCTTCACTTGTGATTTCTGTAATAAATAGGAGATTCAGATACAGGATGGAAGTACAGGAAACCAGAGCTGTCTTTTCAAAGCTGTATTTATACTCTTTACACATATCTGAAAAAAAAAAGTGATTTTTCCTCTATTTAGTAGGATCATGCTATTTACTCTTACGTAATAGGATTTCTGTGTATTGGAGGGTAACAGAACAAAAAAGGAATGTTTCTTCCTGCAGTGGAAAGGAAGATTAAAATTTTCTTACGTGTGTGTGCTGGAGGAAGTATGTCCTGCCATTCTTCTGTAGGAGAGGATCTTTGTAAGCGACTTAATTATTGCCCACTGTCTTCCAGGGATGAAAACGGGAGTTTTCTTTATGGAGGCTTCAGTAAGTGTAAACAGCCATTGCCTGGTCCCAAGGGTTCCGAGTCGCCAAATTCCTTCCTGGACCAGGAGAGCCGAAGACGGAGATTTACCATTGCCGACTCTGATCAGTTGCCTGGGTATTCAGTGGAAACCAATATTCTGCCCACAAAAATGAGAGAGAAAACTCCATCTCATGGTACATTTCTGCCTGTTTGTTTTGTTCTGCCGTTTGTTTTTCCTCCCTCCCCTACCCCCCTTCCTTATTTGGAACTGTTGGATGAATTTGGCAGACTTGTAGGGTAATCTGAGGAAAACATAAACCTCAATGAAATTCTAAGTATGAGACCTTTATTCATCTCTCCAAAGCGAAGTCTTGTTGAATCATTACTCGCTGCCTGGCATCAAAGCCCAGTGGAGTGAGATCATGTTACGGTTTTAACTTGCAAGGGGGCCTGGCTTTTAGCATGGAACGGCTTTGCTCTGTAGACAACACAGGCTGGAGTTCAGCCGGCCTGTGTTCTCATTGCTTGCCACGCAAATGGGAGGCTTTGCAGTACTTTTCTTAGTTTACAATAATGTTATCACTTAGGTTTAAGTGAGTGTGATATGGGGGAGTCTTAAGTTATAAATAAAAGGAAAGTTGCTCTAAGGTCCACAAACTCTTGTCAGCTTGTCGTGTCCTTCCCTTCCCTTTGAAGGCAAGCCCCGACCTTTGTCCATGCCTGCGGATGGGAGCTGGATGGGGATCGTGGACCCTTTTGCCAGACCTCGAGGTCATGGGAGGAAGGGTAAGTTGAAACAAACCCCAAATACACCAAACCGGAATCAAAAGGGCCATGGCCCTCATTTCAGCCCTGTTCCTAGTTGTGCTATAATAACCAGATAGAGGATCCCAGCCCGAGTCCTGTCCCTTCATCTATAACGTCGGGGCTGCTGAGTCTCTGAGGCTCTACCTGTTCCTGGAATGGCAGAATTATATTATCCTAGTTAGTGACTGTGAATCTTCTCATTAGCATCGTGTGCTCTAAAAAGGTTGTGGGGGCGCCTGGGTGGCTCAGTTGGTTAAGCCTCTGACTCCCGATTTCAGCTTAGGCCATGATTTCAGGGTTCTGGGATCAAGCCCCACCTCAGGCTTCCTGCTCAGTGGGGAGTCTGCTTCTCTCTCTCACTCTCCTTCTGTGCTCTTTCTCCCTCCAACAAATAAATAAAATCTTTAAAAAATAAATAAATAAAAGGAAGAGGAAAAAAGTTCTGGAGGCTCAACTTCCACAGTGAGCAACCCCTCACAGCTCCCCGGGCCTTGGTAAAGTTTCTCCCTCAGGAACCTGAATCACCTGGAGCATAATAAAGGAGGAAAGGGAGAAGATGTCTGTGGTGTAAGGTCCGGGATACCCTTAGCTGGCATATGACAATCTGTGGAGCAGTCAGCAGGTGGCAGGGCTGTCCTTTGTTTAGATTTAGAAATGTCAACATCTTCATTGCTGTTCTCTTGGGCTTTTAATCCCTGATTTAGCCTTTTACTTCCTTTTAGAATTGAGAGATCCGGGCGGGAGGTGGGGAGTGTTAAGTCTGAAAGTGGAGACATACTTGACCTCCTGTCTCACCTTCCATAGTTCTGTCGTAGGATCGTTTTAGAATGAAAAGGTGTCTGTTCGCGTGATGGGCACTTAAAAAAAAAGCAGCTTTCTTGAGAGAGGACTCACATACCATAAATCTGCTCACCCTGTTAAAGTGTACAATTCAGAGGTTTTTAATGCATTCATGGAGTTGTGTCCATCAGCACTATTTCCAGCATATTTTATCACTTCAGAAAGAAACCCCTGCAGGCAGTCACTCCTCATTCCCTCCTCCCTCAGCTCCTGGCAGCCACTAATCTACTTTCTGTCTCTCTGGATTTTTGTACTCTTGACGTTTCCTATAAGTAGACTCCTGCATCATGTGGCTCTTTGACAATGGGCACTTCTTCAAAGCAACTACCCCTTTGGTTACAAAAGCGAAACAGGCACACTGAGAAACATCTAGAAGACATGAGAAAATAAAACTCAACTGTCCTCTGCTTCCCCAACCTAGAAATAATTAATCTGAATGTTTTCTGATGTTATACACTTAGAAAAAATGTGCAAAATGGAAGAAATAGATTTTTGACAGTACCGTGAAAGGTGACTTACTCAACACATGTATGTTTTCTGTACCAACTGCATGACATCCTAACATCCATGTTAGGGCTGTAGCATGTACTCACCCAGGCTACTGCTGCTGGACACCTCGGCTGGGTGTGTGCACCCCCTTCCCTCCCCCCATTGTGAGCAACGCTGCACTAAGCATCTTGTCCCTAGATCGTCATAATTTCTGGGTCAAAAGAATGCTACACGTGGCCAGACTGCCTTGCATTTTAGGTTTCTCTCCAGTTTCTTAACTATCCCCCATCCCCCACCCCCACTCCTACCCCCCCCCGCATTTCCCCCCCCCCCCCAAGAGCGGTGTACTGGCATTTAGGCTGGGACCATTCTTCCTTGTTTGGAACTGTCTTAACCATGGCAGAACCCTGTCTAGTAAAGGCGAATGATAGTGCCTGCCCTTTACTGAGGGTGACAGCCCAAGGCACCCCCGCCTTCCAAACTGCTCGTTAGGGGAGACTTGGGGATAAGAACCACTGTCCCCGTGCCCACAGGCATTAAACAAGAATAGATCGGGCCTTAAGGAGTGCAGACTGAGACAACCTTTTCGCTTTTTTTCCCCCCTTCAATTTTGAGTGAAATGTTATGAAAGTTCTTACACTGGTGAAGAAGTGTGGGCTCTCCGATTCTGCCCTGCCCTTGTGCTGCCTCTCGGGTTGTAAAAGCACACTTCGATGGACTCCTTCCACTTCTACTTTCTAAACATCCAGTGGGGTGCGCCTGGCGGGCCGGGGGGAGGGCAGGGTCTGGGACGCACCCGAGGGCACCGGGTCTCAGCACGTTGCCAGCCTGGCTGAACTGGACGGTGCGGTGGATTTTAACGGACTCGTGGGCTTTGTCTGCGAACAGGTGAGGACGCCCTGTGCCGGTATTTCAGTAACGAGCGGATCCCCCCCATCCTCGAAGAGCGCTCCTCGTCCGCATACCGCTTCTCCAGGCCCCCAGCGGAGAGGCAGCTGGTCCGCGGTGCGGACTACGTCCGGGGGAGCAGGGGCTACCTCGGTTCGGATCTCCACAGCAGCGCCACGATCCCATTCCAGGAGGAAGGGCCCAGAAAGAAGCCGGTGTCCTCGGCGGCCAAGGCCTCCTCCACGGAGCCGTCCCTGTTGGTCAGCTGGTTTACGCGCCTGAAACTCTTGACTCACTGAGCTCCGTCCTCCTCGGACTCGTCCCTGCCTCCTGCTCCCAAGTGCCTTGCTTTTTCCCTTGGCAACCTGTTGCGGTTTCCATCCACAGTATTACGTCGTGACCTTATGCGATTTCATTGTTTGTTTCTTTTGGAAGTTGTATACTGCCCTTCTCGGAATTTGGAAGTGATTGGATGGAGACAGATCACGGAGGATCTTAGGTGTTGCCTTGTGGAGGCCGAAGGAGAGAAATGAGTCGAGACTGTTCTTCTTGCTTCCTTAGGGCGGGAACACAAAGGCACACAGTGTACGCTGGGGCCTGCGCCGGGAATGTTTTGGTTGTTACGAGGAACTGGGCCATGGTTGTGTTGGGGACGGGGCTGAAGTTGGTGGCCCTTGTCACGGAGGCCTTGGTTTGTGGTCCATCTTCTTCACCTGAGAAAGCCAGTGGAGAAAACATTTTTGTTTTAATTTTTCAAGCTACATACCGTGTTTGTAAGTGTAGCAGCTTTGACTTTGAAATAACATGTGGCGTGCATTTCATGCTGTTTCAAAGAAGTGGTTTCAGTAAGTGTAGGCCTGTTGCCCTCGGTTATTCCCTTTTCGTAACAATCTCAGTATGTGGGTCAGTTACCACAGAAACACATGAACACATTTAGGTAGGGATGACTACACACAAAGAAGTTTATGGTTATTCGTGAGGGGTGTCGTTGTTGTTATATATTATTGTCTTTAAGGGAAAAGAAGCTATAAGATGTGCTGACAGCCAAAGGATCATTTCAGAAAAATGAAGCGACAATATTTAGGTTTATGAGAGATACAGCAGTTTGCATTTTGACTGTGTAAAGTCTTTCTTCCAGGAAAAAAAAAACAAAAAACACAGGCAGTTCTTCAAAACTGTACATATTTTGCTAAATAGAAATCTCTTGGAAAGTCTCATGGTCACTAATTTTCAACTAGCATCAGGTATTTTGGAAAAGTGTGTCAGGATATTAACTCTTGTTTAAACTGAATGTATGATATTTTGTTAGAACACAAAAGTCCTATCTTGTTAATTTAAGTGTTTTAAATATAGTTGTATATTTTTCTTACTCTTAGTCACGTGTAATTGAAGTATTTCTGCTTTGCGTCCTGCGGTCCTGCGTGAAGCTAATGAAAATGAGGCTTCAGGGCGCTTTCCGATTTACAAGTGACCCCCCCAGGCTGCTGCCGCTGTGGACGCTAATGTTAGAAAATCAAATAAACCCTCCCAAGCATTTTGGGATTTTTATGGTTTAGAAGTGGGGGTGTTGAGGAAGCATGGTATAGTGACAGTTATATCTGGGGAATTTCCTGAGGTATATTCCTAGGCCAAGCTGGTATTCCCTGCTCAAAAACAACCCCCCCCACCACCCCTGGAATTGTTTACTTTTTGCTCAAGTGCCTGAAATTCAACAAATTAGAGCTTCCCTGGAGTTAGCAAACATCTTCCTTTTTTTTTTTTTTAAGATTTTATTTATTTATTTGTCAGAGAGAGAGAGGGAGAGAGAGCGAGCACAGGCAGACAGAATGGCAGGCAGAGGCAGAGGGAGAAGCAGGCTCCCCGCCAAGCAAGGAGCCCGATGTGGGACTCGATCCCAGGACGCTGGGATCATGACCTGAGCCGAAGGCAGCTGCTTCACCAACTGAGCCACCCAGGCGTCCCAACATCTTCCTTTTTAAGTGCCTCTGGTGAGGCTGAGGGGATTGAATTCAGTCAGGCTCCTCTTGTCAGCCTCTGAGGGAGATGCAGCTGAAGGACAGAAGAGGCTTGGAATGCATGATTCATTGGGTGCTTTAAACACGATGTAAGGGCAGAGCTTGGGGTGGGGAGGTCTGGTAATAAGGCTCTGGAGACTAGTGTGGAAGCTATGGAAAAGGAAGGGTGCCAGCCTTGGCCCATTTTACTGTTAGCTTGAGCTGGCTTTATGCCCAGAAAAGGGGATGGCAGCATTTCCTCTCTCTCCCTGGATTTGGGAGGATTCTTAGTGCTGTTCAGCTGAGTAATGAGTTAAGTAGCTTTGGAGGTCTTAGCTGGAAGTTGACCGCTTTTCCGTGGAGAAAATGCCACTTGCGATCAGATGACCATCCTCAAAAATGCATTTTCAGGAGTCTGTCTTAACTACAGACAGTGCCCAGCTTAAATTCCTGCACCACATGGGTGTTTCTGTGACTTTGTTCCCTCAAGCGCTCATAGAAGACCAGAGAAGCTTCTGGGTCCTCTGCCTTTATTCTGTCAGATGCCACAGCTTCATCTGTATTTTTACCTGGGGTTTTCTCCTGAATTGCATTTGGGAAATAGATCCCTGCTTTAAAAAAAAAAAAAAAAGTTTGTATATATCTCTACCATTGAGATATTTAAACAATAGTTTAATACTAATTTCTTAGCCATTAAAGGAAATGACTTGCCTCCAAAGCAGTCGAGGTTTAATGGTGGACGTGTGGAATGACACTTGAAACTTTAAAAGTGATTTTTTCTTTAACCCTACCAGACCAACTCAACACCCATCCCTTTTTATCGTAAATATTTTACAATATAGCTACAATCATCAACTAAAAGCCATGGATGATTAAACCTATCCTTAAACGTAAAAGCATCACCTGCATATACTTTTATGATTCCAAAATGAAATTAATAGTAAATATAACCACATGCATCAATTTAATGTCCTAAATGAAATATAAACAAATGTATAAGTGCTTTACAGTGAAATAATTATTTTCTTATGTAAATATTCTAGCACAGTTATAGTACAAGACGTATTGAAATAATGAGACAAGGCACATACTTGCACGTATAGAGAAAATCACCACGCATGTGACAGCTACAAAACGGACACCAGCACAGGTGTGTTCTGCTGGCAACGCAATGCCAGGAACAGATGGATGTCAGTAACATGATTTTCTAAAATGTGGCCAATTGTTGATAAATTGTAGATAAAACAGAAGTCTATGAGAGCTACACCCACGTAGTGCTTACTGGGTGCCTGCCATTGTTCTAAATATTTACCCAACAACTATGAGATGAGTGTCCCGGTTCTTCCCATTTTACAAGTGAGGGAGTCATCCAAGGGTAGACAGCTGATAACAGAGCCGGGGGTAAGATCGAAGCGATTTGGCTCTGCCCTCCTTGTTCATAATCGCTTTACCGTACAGGCTTCTCTCAATTTGGGGAGTGATTGCATTCCTGAAAATTCCAACACGTCTTAAAACTGGACTAAAAATTCCCCGTGTGTTTACAGATAGAATGAGATTATAGACTCAGACAGTGCTGAGCCGGGTTTCCATCCACATGAGTACTTGGTGGCGCAGTCGGATGCTGTACCGATGGGGGACAGTTTTGGGTTGTAAGAGATCTAACCAGTGGAGCTCACGCAGTGCCCGGACCCCATCTGTTCACCAGGAGTGGCCCTCCCCATCACTGGCACCTCACATTTCCAAAACTGGCTCTAGGACGAGACGCCATCCTTTGAGAACAAGTGATTTAAAAGAAAGCCCCATCACCATCATCATCATCGAGTGTGAGTCAGTCTTCATGCTATGTTCTTGTCCGTAGTCTGTCTCTGGTTCTTTCTCCTTGCTTCTCTACCCACCAAACCTGAGGTTCTAGAATCTGTTTTACTGTGTTTTTTTTGTTTTGTTTTGTTTTGTTTTGTTTTTCTTTTCCTCTCCCCAAAACCAGGCAGTTGTTGCTGCCTCTGGCCCAAAGACCATGAATGTTACTGAGTTTCAGAGTGTTGGCCTTCAGAAAACACTAAGGTATTTACATGTAATTTTACCCTTTAAAGAACTTACGTAAACTTGTTTCACATCTGAATATTATTAGCAAAGAATAAAAGGCGGACAGATTTTTTTTTTTTTTTTGCCACTGAAAGCATAAATGGGACAGCCTCATTTGAAGGTCTCCATGTGTATGGGACTAGTTTTTATGGACACGGGGTTCACATTTCCCTCCCGCCCTCATGATAGAATCCCTGCATCATTTCCTTTGGGAGGAGACTACAACAAACTCCCTACCTTGGAGATTATGTGGAAGGCGGATTTTTTTTTTACACATTCATGCTAATCAGCTGAAAGTGAGTATTTAAAAATCTGTCGATTAAAAACTGACTTAAATAGTACACAAAAGCTGACCTTTTCTGGTGTTTCTTCAAACGGGTGGAAGATCTTCATGATGAATCAAACCTAGTGGGATCATAGAATGTGGTTGGGGGTACCTCGAGGGATTGAAAAAAAAGATTTTATAACCTATGGGATTAGAAAAAAAGTCATCTTTTAATAAAATTTACCTTATAATTTTCTGGAGATTTCTTAACTGCTAAGTTTTGCCCTAGAGGTTTTATTTTTTGCCACTAAACTTCTGCTAGCCATGTGCTAGTCTGACAAAGTTTTGACAAACGTAAGGTTTAATGTAAGTAAAGGACAAAGAGATTATATCAATGCAGATTTGCTAGATGGCCGTGTTTTTCTCCAGTTTTAGGCATGTGAGGTCTGTCCCAAACCCTGAATATATATGTGGAAGAGAATTTTGTCCTCTTACAAAAGTCCTTCTACAGTAATGGCCCGTGGCTTACTGATGGGAAAGAGGAGAGGCGAGATTTTGTCCACAATGAACAAAATAACATCACTCAGCCAGGAGCCTGTCGCACACAGTCTTTGAGAACCCCTGGGGCACCTCCCCCATTCCCCTCAACATAGAAAGGCACATGGTGTGGGGTTATTAAAGACAAGAGTCTGGGCGTGTGCCGACCATCCTTGGGGATACTCAAAAATTCTATGGTAGCATTTGTGTAGTTTATCTTCTCACTGGTCAAGTGTTCACGTGCTGCCAACTTACGACAGACCTCAGGGATTAAAACACGTGATGAGGCTAAAGCCAAGATCATGGGGTTTCCTCCTGCGTTCTCTCCCAGCTCCTACCTACTGCGCTGCAGTCCCTGCTCCTGGGATGATGGGCCCCAGTCTGAGCGCTCATGCCATGCTTGCAACCGACTATTACACTTGCTCCTCTTTACAGAGTTTCTTGTCTCCCTGAGAAGTTGTGAAACTGAAGCTGCAGGAGAAAATTAAAAAAATAAACCTCAAAGGCATTTAAAAAAAAAGAGGAGCTACATCACTCCTGAAATCCGGGATCCAGGGATCCAGGGATGGTCTCATCATTGTATCTCCCCCTCAGCTATTCTTGAAGGAATGATTAAAAGGAGACAAAAAAAATAAGGAAACAAATTACTATTTTTTTCTTGTTCTTCCACAGACTAGACCCATTTTAAGGGCGTTACCCCGTAATTTTAATGTTAGGGTGACAGAGACCAGATTTTAATACCTTCCTTCAATGTTGTGATATATCTCGGTCTGAACCTTTCGATTATTTTAGGGAAACACGAAGGAACTTTAAAAATGAAGTTTGATACAAAGCAGTACTGTTTCTGAAGTTAAGAAATTGTCTTTTAATTTTGTGGGTGTCGAGTTCTGTTTTCCCGTGTATGAACACCTCTCTGTCATTCCAGCTAAGGCTGTGCCAGGATAACAGTGGAGAGATTTCAGGAATTAGTACTAATTTAGAAGTCTTTGACTTTTGGAAATTGGCGGTGGTTAGAAGCAGCTGGGGGGCTCAAGCTTTTGAAGTCAGATAATCGGGCGTCCCACTTTACCACTTACAGGCTCTGTGACTCGAAGCAAGTCACTTATCTCTCTGCTCCCCAGTTATCTACAAAATGAGGGTAATAATAGAATTGACTTCATAGGCTTATGGGGATTAAAGGAGATAATGTTTGTAAGGCCCTTAGGACCACCTACCACACAGCACTTAATAGATAGTGACTTTTGTTGGAATACTCTAGTAGTGGCGTTTACACAATCTTAACCTCTAGTAAATAAGACATTCAGAGCTGGTCTACAGACAATTGCTCATTCTTTTTCCATAAGCAGCAAAATAATGCCTCTGTCACACTGGCAGAGGGGTGCTGTGCCGTGTGTGACCCGGAAGTGTGGTTTTTGCTGGAACAATCTCAGCTTCTCTGAAGTGTTAGCTGAGTCAGAGCTCCAGCGATAAAAGCCTGTCTGAGCGGACACATCCAGC